AAAATTCGAAGACATTGCTGTAGTTTGATGTCGAATCGTTGTCGATACACTTTTTGGCATAAATAAAATTTATTTGAGCAGATTTTTGTTAAGAATTCATTTAAAAATATATCAAAATTAGCTTGTGTAGATATTTTATAATTGATTAATCCTTTTATGTTGGATTGTTTTAGTCCTATATCCGAGGTACCTTGACCAAAGAGTTGAGGAACATTGGTCGCTAAAATATATAGTGATTTCACTGTTTGAAATTGTTGACAAAAACGAGCTATATGTTCTGTTTGCACTTATACCATGAGTTGAACAGCACTGTTATGGGTGGGTGTGGGTGTTGGTTAATAGAATACTTATACCCTACCATACCCACCCACACACAAAAAAGAATAAATGTCAGATTTGCGCTTCTCGCCCCCGATAACCTATAGGAATGTTTCGTCAAAACACCCGAAATGGCGAAAAATAAGAAAACTCTTTTCTGTTTGGTCGGATATCTGGTCAATCAGAGCTAGGATCAAAAATCTGACCTCAGATTCGAGTTCTTCGTCCCTAATAACCTATAGCAATCTTTTATCAAAACGCTCAAAAGCCTAAAAATAGAAAAGCTCGTTTCTGATTAGTTGGACAAACAAACATGTACATTTTTTCACGTAACACCATTTCTTTCAGAAAATGGAACAGCTGTAAAAAAAAACATTTATTGACACTTAAAACTTCTTAATTCATTCATTTTCCCGTATTTTAACAAAAAATTCCGTTTATATAAGATTCTCCGCTAATCTATTTCAATGTTCTTTGTATTAAACGAAAATAACGACCATTACAAGCAAGTAACTCTTCATGATTTCCACTTTCAACAATCACTCCATTATGTATAACACATATAAGATCTGTATTCTGAATAGTTGATAAACGATGTGCAATTGTGATCGATGTTCGATTTTGTTGAGCACGATCTAACGCTTGTTGAACTATCTTTTCACTTTCACTGTCCAATGCACTTGTTGCTAAACACCAATATACAATACAATGAATCATATAGTTTTGACAATTATCTGTTTACCTTCATCAAGTAATAAAATCTTTGGATTTCGAAGTAATGCTCGAGCAATAGCTACAAATAATACATATCACGCTCACTCTTTAAAATTTCTCAATATGGTTTTACCAATTCGTTGTTTTTGTCCACCTGATAATTGAGTTCCTTTTGGACCACAATTCGTTTCATATCGCTTCATTTTTAACAATATAAAAAACATGTTTGTTCAGTAAAAGAAGAACAATTGATTACTTACATATGGAAGAAGTTGAATAAAATCATGAATATTAGCATTGATAGCTGCTTGAATAATTTCATCTAATGGAATATCTGTTCGACTATTATCACCATAAGCAATATTTTCTCGAATTGACATATCAAAGAGAACTGATTCTTGTGAAACAATACCAACTTAGAGAGAAATACAAGACTTGAATTTATAGCGTAAAAAGGATGTTTTTATACGTACTTTGGGATCGATACCATTGAAGATTGAGACTTCGAACATCTTTTGAATCAACCAACTATAAATATAGCAACAATATTGACGTGTCAGCAAGATAAGACAATGAAAAAACCATTTACCAAACGGCCAACATTTGGATCGTAGAAGCGTTCGATTAACTGCATAGTTGTTGATTTGCCACAGCCAGATCTACCTGTAAAAAAAAAAGATAATCTATTTAAATCATTTACTCTCGATGAACAATAGGAAGATTATTCATACCAACGAAAGCTACTTTTTGGCCTGTGTAGAAAGATAATAAAAGTGGATATCAGTAAAAAGAAGAGTAGAGAAACAAATAGATACCAGATTTAATATTGAGTTTGAAATTTCGAAGAATAATTGATTCAGGTCTATTTGGATAGGTAAAATAAATACCATCAAATTCAATTTGTCCATTGAAATTGGACTAAACGATGAATATATGTATTGGGAAGATTCATAATATTTCCTTACAATTCGATCACCATCACTTGATTCATTATTGATTATCGGTTTGCGATTCAATAATTCAAAAATTCTTTCAGCAGCTTGAATTCCTTTTCCGTAGTCTGGAGATCTGAAAACCAATATTTCTCTCACTCATGTCATTTATTGAAAAACTCACAGCGTTAAGTTGCCACTTGCATATTGAGCTAACATAGCAACAGAATTAAATACCCTAGAAAGTTATTAATCAAACATTGTTTGTTCGAATAAAAATAAAGCATAGGCAAATGATTTTTTTTTCTTACATGTACATATCCTCAAATGTAATTTTATTTTGATCGACAAGAAAAGCACCAAGTGCGATGAAAGCCGCTATATTAAAGAAAGTAACTGAGTTTGACAATGCATATATTATACTTGAGACATGAGCTCGTTTAAGTGATGATCTGTAAGATATGTTATCAGATATATTCGTCGATTAATGCAGAAAAAAAGCAATAATACCGATAAACAATATTGATTAATTGACAATATTCATTATAAAAATGATCTTCTTTTGATAATTGCATCACTGTTCGAATGTTCTGAATAGCTTCTACAGTTACCTGTATTATAGAAGACGAAGAGAAAAAAAAGAAAGAAGTTTTTACTGCCAAAAGAAAGAGAGTGCTTTGAATTTGAGAAATTCGAGCATCTATTTACTGTCTTTGCGTGACGAATCTGGAAAATCGTAATTCATCTCTCTGAAACTGGCAAGTTATTAGTTTATTCATTTGAAAAATGAACTCAAAGTTTCATACTCTACGAATGAACTACCCTAACTTCCTAATCCGATGTACTCAAAATGTACATGACGTATACAATTCATGGGACTAACTTCGAATATCACGTGTCTAAAAGCTTTAAGATCCTTATAGATATCGTGTACTACCTACTAGCATTGTCCTAGCGACGGTCTGTTTTGATAAAATCAATCTATAATCTGTTCATATGTATCATATAATAAAATATTCACGAAAATATTTTAATAGATACTGCAACCTCGAATGTATGTCAGACATTGAAGTGTAAGCAGTGCCATATTGCCTGCATTGACCACGAACGGCTGTCTGATATAGACTTTATGATTCTCCATTATATATTTACCACTGTGAGTGGTATTAATACATGTACATTAGTGTGATTGATAATTCAGTAACTCTAATG